GGCCCTGGCGCGCGGGGCGGGGCGGGCGCGAGCGAGGGCGCGCGAGCTGTCATTATTTCCTGCCCCTCCGCGGGGGACAAAGGGCCGGCGACCCTCGTCCCTCCGAGCGCGCCTCCGCGCCGAGATTGCTCTGGAGGTCCGTCCAGAGAGCGGATCCCCCGAGCCGAGGACTCCGAGCTGGAGTCGGCCGGCTTCCCCCACGAAAGTTCGATCGAGGTGCTCCTGGCCTTACAGGCCTCTCATACGTCCTTCACGACAAGTTCTGGGTTCGAATCCCGATCTCAGACCAGAAGCGATCGCGCCAGTTGAGTGGAACGTCCTGCCGGAGCTTCACTCCCTGTTGACCTCTGTGTGTTTCTGGTCCTTTATTATTGAAGGCGTGACTTCCTTCTGGTTACCTCATAGGCACCCGATTTAAAGCACCTCTTCTTTCATTTTAGTATTACAATTAAGCTGTACTGTAATGTTAAACTTCTGGTATTTTTGTGTGACTCAGTATGGTGCGATACAGGGTGTGTTGTGGGTCCATGTTTGGGTGTCATGTAAGCGGTTATGAGATGCCTGAGTCTACAATGATTAGTTTGCGTTAGGAAAACCAGTTCGCGGTGGTGAGTTATAAACAGAACCGTCCTGCCCCTCAGAGATCTCACAGTCCAGGGGCGTTGCCTTTATGAGGGGACTCGGTAGCACCTCCCCCTCTGCGGTTGCCAGTCCTTTTCCTTAATCACCTCCGAGATCTTTCACTTTAGGGGAAGTGAGAATAGAGTTCTTTAAAGAAATAGCCAGAGCATTTCAATGTACTTGTAATTCTTGTATGTAATCTAGACAAAAGGTCTAGGTGTAAATCGAAAATAGAAAAAGTCCAAATGAGCCTTTTCATATCACAGCAGTGAACATTCATAGGATGGTTTTCAAGGACCTGGTCTCTTAATATATTATTCTCAATCCTCACAACAACCTTACAAAGCAGGTGGTGGCATCCTCTTTTTCAGACGTGAAAGGTTGAGTAATTCGCCTGAGGTCCCAGAGAGTAGAGTTGGCCCCCAGAACACTTTCTGGCAGGGCCCACTGCTTTCTTATGAAGTCCTGCTAGTTGATTTGCTAGAGCAATGAAGGAGAACTTATTATTTTTCTTAGGCTCTGGGTGTATTTTCTTGCTGTTTCACCTATTCAGAATGGAGGAGAAACTACTGCACCCAGATGAGGTTCTTGATGGTCTTGGGACGGAGGTTGTTGTAAATAGGCTAATTTTGGCCCGTCTCCAGTCATTCTCTTCTCTCTGTTTTTCTTGATTTGACCATTTGCCTGCCTCTTCCCCCCACTCCTCCATCCCACCCTCCAAAGTTTGGATAAGGCTTCAAGTGCAGCTTGAAGAAAGGTAGATTGCAAAATTCCCAGGCTGTCAAAGAGCCAACTCTGTGGATTCTAAGAGCTTAGCTGTTACAACTGGATGAAACTTGAGATCGTCTCCAACACATTGGACAAAACACTTTTCTGCGCCTCATGTCCTCATCTATAAAATGAGGGTTGGGCTTTTTAGTCCTTATACGTAATGAAAGTGTTTTAAAATTACTACCGATTTGCTGAGTGTTTGTTCAGTGTACGTCTTGGAGGACAAGAACTGACGTGTTTCATGAAAACACTCAGGAAATCTCTAGGTGGTCATCTGTCTATTTGGGCAGTGAATTGAGGCATATGTAAATATTGTGGACTGGGTTGTCTCCATTTCTAGGGCCACTCACTCCTTTCTCTTAGCCCCTAAGATTGACAGAGATGATCCAAGATGGTGGAATTACATGGAACAAGGTATGACCATGGGAGTCCTCTGAATAGGATGGGTTTTAAGTGAATTATATGTCATTCTGTTTGGTTTAAGTTGGTTTCTTGTACACAGGAGGCTCTCCAATCCTAATGGCTGCTTGGGGATAAATTATACCCCTCAAGTGAAGTAAATCAACTTTTCTAGGATGCTGGCTAGTGACTTACCCTTCAATGGAAAGACTTAAACCCATACTCTGAGCTAAAGCAGCTCAGGAGCCTTCAAGGAATATTCACAGAGTCACCTGGGCCTGCATTTTGGATTAAGCCGTATGGTTTGAATTACTGTTTATATATCCAAAGTCCATATCAGAAGTCAAATTAAAAACTTTTTTTCTGAATAAAATGGCTATAGTCTTTGCAGTTCAGTTTATCTCACTTCTTAGGATATAGCAGATCACAGACTGAAGTAGACCACAAATCTGGAGGAAGGAAGACGCCATTATGTTTCAGAAGTAACAGCCTGTTTTGATCTTCAGGTTTTCAAGTACAGCCAATGAATAAAGAACCCTGTGCACTTGACTTTACCAAATAGTTTATCCTATCCAGTACTCTAAGATTCTTTCTAAAGAATGGCAATTTAATAATGGTATTTTAATTGGGTAAGTGCCTTTCAGTTCTTTTTCTAGAGAATCATTTAAACTTCTCTTCATTTTATTGGACCTTTTCCCTCTGCTTTTATGGCCAGTTTTGCTGCTGTTTGTAATGAAAGCATTTAACATCATTCATTGTTTCCTATTGGTTATTCAGCTGAATAGTTACTGACCAAGTCCTTTTCTTTTCCAAAGGGCAGTATTATGAGACCAGGAAAGCCTGCAGGCATTGTGGTTTTTATGTTTGTGGCTATTGAACTATTTGAAGCAGGACTTTTCTTTTTCCTAGAGATATCAGAAGAATCAGTATTGATATTTAAGGTTAAAACGACCATTTCCTTAGCCTGGAATGTTTGTTACTGTTAGCCCCCTTTCCTGCCCAGTTTATTCTGTTAAGACCCAGCTCGGATGCCACCCCACCCTGTGCTCACCCTAGCCCACATCCTTGGGACAGGATTATTGGTCTCCCTTATTGTATTTCCAGGTGCTTTATACACTTAGTACACACTTTGATTATAGCCCTTACTGCATCATATAGGAATAGTTTGCTTCCTTCTTCCCCAGTGGACAGTGCATTCCCCAAGGCAAGGACCGTCCTTTACTCCTCTTGGTATCTCTGGGCTTTAGAGTGCTTAGGATGCAGAGGGCATTTTTGGTTGAGTTGACCTGAATTAAGTTTAAGTCCAAGTTTTTCTCTCAGGAATATCATTGCCATAAATAGGATGTTGTGTTATGCTTATTACTCATTTTAGGCTCTGTTTTGAATATCTTCTAATTGGGGCGGAAAATCTCTGTCCAGCTGAGTGAGAAAATAAATGTGAGGAAAGGTGCATTTCTACTTGTGTTATTTTTCTATCTGATTTAGGATTACCTTTTTTTTTTTTTTTAAATCTTTGTGGTAGTATTTCTTATTTTCTTCTTTAACATTGTTTAAATTTTTCAATTCTCTTTTTCTAAATAGTTGAGTATTATTTTTTCTGGTGTTTCCATTTTTTTTTAGGGGTAGTGAGTAGTCTGTATTCATACAAAGCACTGCTTTGTGGTGGATGCTTATGTCTTTATTGCAAGGTAATGACCACCGGAGAAAAATATTTAGGTGGTTTTATTTTATTTTCTACCAGGGAAAATGATGAAGCCCTGTGTAAAAATTCAATAATCTCTTGAAAGTGAAATTTTACTAGCTGAGAATAAGGATTGTAATTTAAAGATGTAAAAAGGAGTATAATACAGTCCACTGTTGGGGAAGAGTGATATGGTCTCATCTCTTCAGTCTTAAAATTGTTTCCACTCATCCTCGTGGCTTCGTCTGATACGACGGTGTTATATAATTTCCCGCTGCATACTGCTTCATTCTATTCTGAGGCTGAGTGACCACGAAAAGATGGTAAAGCATCTGTCATACACATAACATTCATAAGCATGTAAACTATATGTAGAGAGATGATACTCTGATGAATGCCAGTGAACACTTTTTTGGAGGGCTTATGAGCTATCAGTTAGAATTCACAGAAACATAAAGAAGTGTTCTTGTTGTTCTTAGGGGTTTTTTTTTGTTGGTGGTGGTGAGGAAGATTAGCCCTGAGCTAACGTCTGTTGCCAATTCTCCTCTTTCTGCTGAGGAAGATGGGCCGTGGGCTAACATCCATGCCCATCTTCCTCTACTTTATATGTGGGACGCTTGCCACAGCATGGCTTGATAAGCGGCTCCTAGGTCTGCACTTAGAATCCAAACCTGCCAACC